CATCTCCAGCCCCAAAACCTGAGTAAATCTTCATCTTTTCATCATCCCCTAAAAATCTTGGCTGTGGTATGAAATCAGGACACCTCCTGGGGGGGGTTTTCCAGCTGAGCCCCACGCCGTGCTCCCTGGGCTGCCTTTCTCTTCTCTTCCCCTTGGCTGCTGATCCAGAGAAGATCAGAGCCAGGGCAGGGTGGTGAGGACAGCCCTCCAAGCAAGGCAGAGCCTGGGGAGCCACCAAGATCCATCTCTCAGGGTTTATCTGGCTCTGCCAGAAGTGCTTTTGATCTGGAGAGGCTAAACCTGAGGCCAGGCTGTGATCTGTCTCCTGACAGCCCCACCACTGGTGCTGTAACAGTGACTAAGGGACCTCAGATCTAAAAGCCTGGTCATGGTGCTGCCTCCTCTGCTTCACGAGCATCTCTCTGGGTGGTTTATTTCTGGTTCTCCCTCCAGCCTGGCAATGTAGGTCAGGGAGAGCTCTGTGGCTTTTCAATTCACAGGGCAAGATTACTCTGTAAATCGGACTAGGCTGGCAGGAGAGCTTTTTCCAGCTGAAAATAAACAGTGTTGAGGGTTGATTTTTGCTGAGAGCTGCCAGGAGCTGTTGGTGTCACAGGGCTCCTCTCACCATGTCCATCCTGCCCTCCTGCCCTGGGAGGGGTGAGGGTGTCCTGAGCCCTTCCAGGTGTAGGGGGAAGAGGGAAAAGCTCTATATTTGCCCCAGGAAGGGTTTAGGTTGGAATTAAGGAACAGTTTCTTTCCCAAAAGGGTTGCCCAGGGCTGTGCCAGGCTGCCCAGGGCAGTGGTGGAGTCCCCACCCCTGGAGGGGTTCCCAAGCCGTGGAGATGTGGGGTGAGGGACACGGGGCAGTGGGGACCTGGCAGGGCTGGGGGGTGGTTGGACTGGATGATCTGAAAGGTCTTTTCCAACCTAAACAACTCTATGGAGGGGATGGGGACTCCACCACAGCCCTGGGCAACCCTCAAGGGCAAGAAATTGTTCCTCAGCTCCAGCCTAAACTTCCACTGGTACAACTTGAGGCTGTTTCCTCTTGTCCTGTCCCTTGTCCCTTGGGAGCAGAGCACGACCCCCCCCCGGCTCCAGGCTCCCGTCAGGAGCCGGGCCGGGCCACA